TATGATCTGATGCCTGCACTTGCTGTGCTCTGATGGGGGCCATAGGAATGCTGGGAGGATCTGAGCTTCCTTTTGGCTCTGCAGTCTTTGCTGCTGAGTTGATTCTCCAAGGGGCCCAGACCCCATTTACACATGATAGGTGGGTAAGAAGCTTCTCCTCTTAATGCCATGGCCCAAGATGTGGTCTCTGCTCTTTTGGCTGCCCTGGAAATGTAATTTTACCTGGAGTACATGCTGGGGCAGAAACTATTCTATTTCTCCGTGCTTGCTAAGCTGGTATTCAGGCTGTTGCAATTTTGCCTATAGCTATTTCAGGTTCTTCATTAGATCTGGGGTGTGACTTTCAGCTACATTAAAGCATTGACTTCAGCATTTATTGCTGTGATTGTTACACCAAGGCCAAGTTAGGCTAGCTTATTACTTGGAAAAAACTGGAAAAGTCTCTCTATATCCTCTGACAAGATCCCATGGGTAGACTGTAGGATGGACAAGACTGATGAGATGTCCCAGCTCAGTGGGGTCAGGAGGACCACCTGCCTGATGTGTGTGTGTCACTGGGGGCAACTTCCATCGGTAGTGGACATGGTACACTGTGGAGCAATGTTGTGTCTTGCAAACATAAATTTAATCCAAATGACATTTAAAAGAAAAAGGTTCAGTGCTTTTAAGAGATTGAAGGTGTCAGAACGCCCTTGGAGTGACCAAACTGGCTAGAAAGGGGGAAGAGGCTGTGTCTAAGAAGCACAAGTCAAAGAAAAGACAGAAGATGGTGTTTCTTCAAAGCTATTTACCTGCCTACAAATGGGATGTGGGAGTCCAGCCTCATGGGAGATTCCTGTAGAGATCTGTTGTTCCGTGTGATTTCCCCTGTAACCACTTTATCCGACTCATAAATCCTAACTCCCCCTCATACTCCAACACTGGAGTACCTGCTCCACAGATTCCTTGGTGTGACAACATGTCCAAACTGAGCAACAAGCATAAAAATCTCCAGAACTTCCTTGATGTTATCCCTCCGTGGTGCATCCCATGCAGGACGTGGCTCCTGTGGGCTTTGCCACCTGCTTCAGCACACAATCACTCCTTTCTCAGTTTGACCTTTTCATTAACACTACCAGGAAGCCCCAAGGCTCTGGTTGGGATTGAGCCCTCCCATGTCTATAAACACTTTAAGAAAAATGAAATGCAAAGGTTAGCAGGAGGCTTGCAGAGACTTTACTAAGCAGGTGGCCATGTCATGGTTTCTTATTAAATAAACAGAGCTAGTCTGGAAATCATCCAAGAGACAAAGAGGTGTTGACATTCTCATTTTCATTGCTGCATTTAAAATTTTAACTGTTTCTTACCACTGTAAAATACGACTGTGAGCTTTTTTGAGCATCAGTGACAGCCCAGTGTTTTTAAGCAGGCTTTCTGTTTCAGCATCTCTCATGGATGAGTGCTCCTCCAGACCTGTGCCTTCCATGTAGGAAACAACTGAGGGAAGAGATTCCCCATGCAGTATTAATTCAAGAATAGGAATGAGAGTTCCTCAAGACATCTGGCAAAGCCAAGGAGCTCAAAGCAGTTGAGAGGTATGAAAGGGGAACTTGCCAGTACAGGCAACATATAAACCCAGAGCAGGGACAATGGTTTCATCACTGAGTGGGGTGAGGTGTCTATTGAAAATAAAATGCACAACTCCAGAGAAGCAGAGGCGTTGCTAATGACCCAAAGCTAAGGCAATGATTAACACAGCATTAATTTTATTTGCATTTTACCCTATTCCTTTAAAGCCATATGGGGAAGAAAAACGTATGGGGTCAGAACGAGGCACGGTTTTCCAGTACCATGCTTAGCCAAACAGATGCATAAATCCCATTAGCAGTAATGGAAATTGGCTGTCTAACCCAAGTAATTGAAGTTGTGTGCTGAATTTGCTTTCTTCCACAGTAGTGGCTCTGACTCCTGCCTCTTTAGTTGCTGTTGGTAAATAAAATGGGCTTTGTTTCTATCAGGACTACGCTTAAAGAAAATGTCATCTTCCAGATTTGGATGTAGTGCAGGAGCTGCAGAATCATCAGGACTTCTTGGTAAAGGCCAGTTGCCAGATGAAGGTGGGGACAGAGGGCTACTGCCATAAGGGGTGTGCTGGACAGATGTGTGTGGAGTATCAGTTGGTGTCCAAGAGATTGTGCTTGCATGGCTCATCTTTGTTCCCTGCTGAGGCAGGATTACATGATTCCCTGTGTTTTCTAAAAAAACTACCACTGTGCTGTCCTGCTGTGATCAAGGATGTGAGCCTCCAGGCTAGGTGTAAAATTGCTCCAGGCCAGGAATTGCTACTTTTCAAAAATTTTAACCAGATTTAACAGATCACCTTCTTTTGGTAAAACTGGTTCTTCCTTGGGGGCTTCTTGAATTTACTCTCAGCTTCCAGTGGAATTTTAGTGTGGGCAAGACAAGGAAAGGACAGCAATGAGTTATTATCTGAACCTTTACTAGCCCCAGATGTTTTCCCCCTGTAAAACTGTGTACCTCTAAAGCTCAAATGTGCTCTTGACAGGTCTGGTCTTGCAATCTGCACAGTGCCTCCTCCTGAGGATCTCAGAGACAACTCTGCAGGCAGCCACTCTGCCTTGTGATGCCTGTCCCATTTGGGATGGGGACACACTTGTGTGTGAGGAACAGGTCTGACCTGGGCTCTAAAGCCTCCTGGACAAATGAGCTCCCGTGTTGTGTAAAGACTCCTGGTTGGTTCTGGGTGCTTCTGGATGGTTCTACACAAAGCAGCTGTGGGGAGAATCCAGCACAGCATTTAACTGAGTAGCAGTATAAATCTGTATAAATCCTTGAGGTGGTCTTATTGTTTTTTCTTTGGTTGGTTTTGGTTTTTTGTTTGTTGGTTTTGGGTTTTTTTTGTGGGGTTTTGTTTGTTTTTTTTTTTTTTAAGGTGGAAGGACAGTGTGTCATGCAGCTTTGGCAGTCAGGAGGCATGTTCAGTTCTGTCCATCAGCCCTTTTGCAAATGAGAAGCAGCAGTTTTGGTTGGGATAGGATTATTATTCCTGCTGTGTTAACACTCACATGAGTAGCAAATACATTCATAGCGGATCAAGAAATTACTGTGAAAGCTGCAATTCAGACATTTGGGTATGGTCAGAAAATTGCTTGCCTTTTTTTTTCTAGTTTATAAACCTGGAAATGAGACTCTACAGAAGTTTCTCCCTTGGCAGCACAGCTGGGAGAGAGTGTCCACTGCTCTGCAGAAGGATTGGGTCAGGTACCAAGATATTTAGGCATGATATCTTAATTTTAGATCTAATATGAAATTAGTTCTTTGGCCTGGAGCTCACAGACCTAATGAGGCTACTGCGTCCTGCCAGCTGGGGATGTCTGTTTCTGTGTAAAACTCCTTTTCACTGGGGAATCAAGAGTGACTTCCCTGAATTCAACTCACAGTGTGAGTGGGTTTATGGCTTTGCAACTGCTTCTTGTGATTTATCAGTTATTGGTCTTTCAATTAACTTTGATCTACATTGATGCATCTATACTGATCTTAAACCATAATGCCATGCAACACAAGGAGTCCTAAAGTCACTCACTTAAAGTGAAAAAGGTGTTGAACCAACATGGTGATCTTTATTAGCCATAGCTGACAGTTTCTCAACAGTTAGCTTGATGGGACACTCATTTGTGTTATCTTTTCATTCTTTTGTATTTGTGTAGCATATTAGCCTTTCTGTGATTTTGCTTGGGGTTCATGCAAGACTATTAGTTTCATGTCCATCTGCTTATTCTGGCCATCTATTTCTTTCCAGCCCTCTGGAACACCCACAGCATTCCAAGCTTTGTCAGAAGTCAATGCTAAAGGATTCTAGTGGGTGTCAGAGGGAGTGGAATAATAACTGTTGCCTGTAGTTATCTCTCTTCGGCCAAAGGATTCTGATGTCAGACCCAGTAATGATCAGGTGCAATTAAATGCATTTTTAGCAAAGTCTAATTCTACAGACCCTTGTGCAAGGAATATTCTCCAAGACTCATGAACTTCACAGCTGTCCCTTGATTTGGAGTATTAGTGATCAATGCCAATGTCAGCTTTCTCTAGGCAGTTTTTCTAAGCTCTTATTTTTCTGGGAACTCCAGCTTATCAACTTTTCAAGGGTGTTTGTGTTCCAAGTTCTGCCATTTTTTTCCATTAAAACTCCCTAAAAGTAAATGTTATTTCTTCACAGCAGCCTCTTGCTGGGTTTGGGAGATTTTTAGATCATTAATTTCAGGGAAGACTTTGACTCAGCTGATGGTTGAGGAGACAATTACTGCTATTTGGTTTCCCACAAATTTACTTAGGCTTAGATATTGGAATAAATTTGACTGTAATAAGAGTCACCTCTGTGGCATTAAGAGTCCAGAAAGAGGCACCAGGGGTGGACTACCTCCCTTGTGTAGGCCCCTGGTAAATAGCTGCCTTGGCCTCACTGGTCAAGCCCTTCAGAAACCCCAGGGTAGCCCTGTGTGTACAGCTGTAAACATCACAAGGCACAATAACTGAGTGTGTCTAAGAAGAAAATGTGTTACAGCTTGGCTCCCCCTAAGCAGTCAAGACCCCTCTGTGCCCTTAGCACTTGTGTTGTTTTGATATAACTGCACTGAGGGTGGAAAAACGTGCATCAGTGGGGAATGGCTGAACCCAAAGGACTCCCTGTACCTTACTAAAAATAGTGTCATTTAAGAAAAAACAACAACAATTTTTTTGCAGTTGCGTTAGGGGAATGATAGGACAACTTGGCCAAACATATTTAAAATGTGAGCTTTGGGATGGGACTGCAGGATAGAAGAGATGACGTTTCCACTTGCAGTGGATCCAGTATCGGAAGTAATCACAGAATCTCATAGAGTGCTTCAGGTTGGAAGAGACCTTAAAGATCATCTAGTTCTACCTCCATTGTCATGGGCAGGGACACCTTCCACCAGACCGATCCCATCCATCAAATCCATATTTCTCCAATTTAGAAAAAAGTTCCTTATCCATCCCCAGGCAGAACTCCTTGCACTCCAGCTGGTCACTGACACAGAGAGCAACACCCTCTCCTCCTCCCCCTGCCTGTCCTTCCTAAAGAGCCTGTATGCCTACTCCTCATGTGTTTGTGCAAGGTGAGACACCTCTGCATCCCATGTGTGTGTTCAGCTTTCAGAGAGATTAGCACTGATAGTCGGCTTTCTTATAACAGCACCCTGCCAGTGCTGCAAGATGCGTGGGAAATGTGACAGCAGTGCTGAGAAGTGCACAGGACCACGGACAAAAAGCTGCAAGACCCTAATTGGCAATATTCCCAGTGAAGGTGCCTGGAGGGTGTTGGCTCCAGTCTCCCAGGTAGCCGTGCAGTTATCTTTATTGGATGTTTTCAGATGAAGCACAGTGTGTCCTCCAGAAAAGCAGATGTTCTTCACAAAATCCAGTCCAATAGAACTGGAATGGTTGTAAGAAACTGAGGGCAGGGGAGCAAAAAAGGCGATCCCTTTGGACAGACAGATTAGGATGGGTATTTTCTTGCAGAGAGGGAGGCAATATGGAAACAATGATAACTGAGATTAAAAATAAAGCCAGGACCCAGTTCTCAGCTAAATGAATGCAGAGGACTATGGCCTGTGCAATTACTTATCTTTAGGAGGGACAGAATTAGAGACTGAGTATGATTTATAAATATGGGGGGGGGGGGGATTGTTTTGGTGTTAAAAGTTGACAAATTAAGTATCAAAATACAGAGCTGAGATGAAATTTAATTACTCTTTTTCAGTACTTAGAACATCTTGGAGAGGCTTGTCTTCATTTCTATGTTCATTTAATAATTTGCATAGCATAACACAAGCTGGAGATGTTTATGGAACCCTCAGATACAGTAAATTATATGACAGTACCAATTTATCTTGATTAAATCGATATGAAGTCTAGGTACACAAGACAAAACTCTGCTTCTGGCACTGTTGTGTAATGTTCTAATTTGAACTGAAACATCTTAGCTGGCTGAAAAACAGCCCTGAATATTTCACAGGTCTTTAAAGAGGTGTTGTGCTCAAGTCCCATTTCCCCATGTGGCTTTCTATTCTAAACAAGGTTGAATTTTGATACAGGGCTCTAAATACATGTAATATCTTTTCACATTCCGAGAAATTGTCTTTAGGTTTTCTTATTCATTAGAAGGAAGTTAATTGCATTGCTAGTTGCTTCATTTTGTCTTCCTTAAAGAATAAACAGAGTCCATTATGGTTCATGCCCCAGAGTAAATCAGGGTTTTTATGAATGTGAACAAGATATCTTCTCAGTCACTTAAGAATGAAGGTTAGCATCTCTCAAACCCATTGAAGAGTACGGATGTTTTCAAAGCTCAAAATGCGAAAGCTACTGTTTAAATATCATCCCCTGTATCATTTTTTAATGTCATTTTTGCCCCCTTCCTCAACTCGAAAAAGAGGCAGGAAATAGAACAACACAGTAATAGCTCTTTCAGAGTGAGCCCTTGTTCCTAATGCAGGCATGATTTAATGCTTATTGTTTCTTCGCCAACTTAATTCTTCTAACTTCTGGCATGTCCACGGTCTAAAGTCAGCCCAGATTTGGAATGCTTTTTCATTTCCAAAAGGGTATGTGATTTATATGTTCTGCAATGACTAGCAGAGCTGCCCTCAGGTAGGGGGAGAGGTAAAATAAGGATACACTCTCAGCAAACAGCTGTTGCTCTAAGATGAGGTTACTTGTCCAAGTCAGACGTTGAGGGGACCTGAAGCTGTTTGGTGTTCTAAGTATAGAGGGAAATTCTGGTGTCTTACTGAAATGACTGTGAGAAGTATTAAGCTATGTGCAGGATTTCTGTTGTGTCGTCTAAGCAGTGTCCTAGGTAGCGGCACATAAGAATTATTTTGACTTCACTTCTCCACAGTCCTGCCTACACACTTAATTTGGTGCATTGCAAGTAGGTGCTAATGGCACCATGTGAGAAGCCTTTGCAGGAATGGCTTCTGAACGGTGCAGCTAAACAAAATGCCCCAAATTAATATCATTATTATTTTTCTGTAGAGGAGAGTCATTGCAGCAAGCAGGTTTTTACAGATAACCTCCAGCTCCCTGCAGACACAGAGTCACTTCTGCGGGGTTTCTCATCTGAAGGTATTAAGTTCTGTTTGAGATTTGCTTTCTGCATGGAGTAAATCTCTCATTTTAGTCAGATGCAAGGTTTTGGGGAAAAAAAATCAAAGTGTTTTTTAGTTAAGATTAAGGATAAACTTTTCAGGATTACCGAGAGGAAAATGCTATGGATCTGACTTACAAAGATGTTTAGTTGGTTAAATTATGGAGGGAGGGTTACTGGGAGTTACGGGAATGCAAGGGTACCTCATTTTTCTTGCAGTCGCACTTGCTAGGATTTTGACTTTTCCTGTCATTCTCACTCAGCACTGTTCTGAACCTTGAGGGAATTAAATACTTTTTGCATAAGCAGCCTAAAGCTACAGGCATGGTTGCATATTTAGCCAGATAGGCGGCTTCTCCTGAGAGCAGCCTCCTACAGCTTGTCTCGGCAGTAGTATTTGCTGAGGGATGTCTCAGTGGATGAAGTTCACAAGCATAGTCCTACACTTTGTGTAGCTTGGATGTTGCTCAGACAGCTGATTGTTTCCTTGGAACTGTGTTGGGTTTGGTTTTTCTCTCTGTGGGCAACTCCGTTTGCTGTGGGAAATATTCACTGCATAAAGGCATCATTGCAAAGCCAAGTGCAACAGTCCCCATAGCTGTTTCTTATTTGAGTATTACTTTCAATGCCCTTAAAAGCATTGGTGTTCCAAGCAGATGCTTGATATAGGTGTTCTGCATCATCCGGTGGGAGTTACTTTCCCCCACTAGATAGTACTTCATAATTAAAAGTGCTGATCTCTAGAATGCTGCTTACTAAGCAAGGGAGCAGAAGTGAAGAGCTGCTCGAGATAGCAAGGTATATCCATGCCATCTACAGGTAGAAGAATGAAGCTGGGAATGTGCAACTTTGACATCTCCCATGCTGTCTGGGTTAGCTCTCTTGCATCCCGCTACAGGTGGCAATCAACTCTGCCACGTGCTGCAGTGACCAGCGGGAAGGGGCAAGGGCAGTACCCTGGCTATGGACCCCCCTTGCTCCCTCTCTGGCAGGGTTTGGTGTAGGCAGGAGGGAAACAGCAGTTCTGTGGTGGGTGGCTGGGACTGCGTGAGTGAGAGCAGCTGTGAGGTTTGTGTTCCTCTGTCGCCTTGGCAGGAGGTGTGAGAGGTGCACAGTTGTGGGTGCCATGGTGCTCCTCCATGGTACAGAAGAGCTTGAAGAAAGTCATCCAAAACCAGGCTGCTGAAACAGGGTTCCAATAAAATCCCCATGATCAAGGGGAGAAAGTGGAGGTGTTTTATAGGAAGAGAAGGGGTGGAGGAAGTCAGTGGAGCCCAACAGTTTGTCAGGGAAGAGAGAACTTTTTAATTGACTGTCAAACCATAACCTTGGGAACCTAAGGAGAAGAGGCATCAGCATGTCTGTCAGCACAGATAGACATCAATCTTCCCTGGCTAGACAGCAACATGATTACTTCTGGGATAACGTCAACAACTTGGAAGTGCAGTAAGCTGATCTGACCTGTTACAAAGGAGAGGAGGAGGTGGGATGGACCTCCTCCCCACATTTATTCAAAGCTGTTTAATTTAAATAGACTGTTTACAGCTACTTTTTTTAATTAGCGGAAATTAAAATCTGCATCTTTATTTTGAAACATTTACTTTCACTTTATTATGGCCTATTCCAAAATAAGGTCAAACTGAGGACAAATATCATCCTAACAATTTTCTTTCTGTATTTCCTAATGTTTTTGGGATTTCCTTCATCTTAGCCTCAGATGTCCTAGCCAAACATATGTAGTGGTTGGTAGGAAACACTACAGATATCTTTAATTTTAGCAGAAGAAAACTCCCTTAAATTATCAGGAAAATTTTACTTAAGACCATTTCCCTTTTACATAACTGGACCAAACTTTTGCTTGTTGTTTTGCAGAAGTTTAGGGGAGGTAATCAACAATACCATGCCTTGTTGTACAGCACATTTCAAACAATTAATATGACATTTTCTGACTTAAAAATAACTAGTAGCATAAATGATCAAAGTGGTTTGTCAAAAAGGAAACATCTGTGCTCACTGACAAGCTTTGAAGGCACCAGGCCATTAACACCCATTAAATTGATGATATATGGGGCTGTGCTGGAGAGCAGGCTTTGTGGGCATTCTCCAAACAACCTGGGGTATGTTAATTTTATCCCTAAGGTGCTGACAATCAGTTAAAAAGCCCTTTGGTTTATCTTACCTTCTTCATCCCCACCTGTTCTGCTTTTGGAAGCACAGCACTTGGCCTTGAGGCTCCCATGTCCAAAGAGAGGATGCAAGTGCATTAAGGGGTGTGTGAGTACCCTCTGCATGGGCTGACCCTGATATTCTGTCCTATGGGGTCTAACAGGCAATTTCTGATTATTCAAGCACATCTTCAGTTGCCTTCTCAGTTGCTGATGGAAAGAGGAGGGGAAAGGCTGGAGACAGCAACTGTCAGTGGCACAAGGATTTACAAGGAGACCTTAGGCAGACCTCTAGGTCTTGGTCCTGCAGTGTTTGCTGCTCACCCACAGACCAAACATGGATTAACACAGGCTCTGAAGCTTATCCCCAACCAGTATGTGTGTGGATGGATATATGCAAGGGGGTGTATTATGCGTATAGTATGATATCGCACCAGGAGAGTGATTTTGCAAATGATTCCAGGCTTGTAAAAGATTTGAGTGGCCCTTTTTTTCTATTTTTTTTTTTTTCAGAGGACCCAAAATGCCACTTTTGTTATACAGATCTCAGCATGGACTGTTGTAGTGTCTGGAGTTGGGAGGGCAGGAACCAACTGGGCAAGGAGGAACAGGAGGAGAATCGATGCTGCTGCTCCTGGGCATGCAGGGCTGGCTCACTGCAGCTCATGGAGAAGTATGTTTGCAGTCTCTCCTACTGGCTTTGTTACATTAGCAAGTAAAGCACAGTTTCTCTTTCCCAGTGTGGGTTTTTTGTAGCACTTAATTGATTAAACTAATTGGAAATTGTATGTCGATTTTAAAGAGATGGGGAAAAGTGACTCCTTTCACATTGCTGGGAGAAAAAAATCATCTTACAAATTTCCACAAAGGCTGGTGTGGAGATCCCAAATGGGGAGTGCCAGTGTCTAATCTGTGAGCGGTCAAGCTGCCAAGGCTAAAATCTGATGAAGTTTGGAGAAAACTAATCTCCTGAGCCTGGGTGTATATTGCCCCGTGAAAATGTTTTCCTGAGAAAATAATCTGCATATGAAATGAATAATTTTTTATCCTTTGTTCAATACTCATAGCTGAATTTTCCCAGTCTAGGAAGTGCTGACCCTTGCAACAACCTCTGGACTGGACTACAACATTTCTCTAACCTTGTTTTATTGCAGGACAAGTGGGTTGCAGGATCCTGCAGGACTCATTTGTGAGAGCATTTAGCTACAGAGGAAAGAGGTGAGCCCTGGTTTTCCAATCCCAAGGCTAGTGTCTTAACCCCAGATCAATCTTCTTGCCTTTAAGTTGATTTATGTGTAGGATTTCACTTTTTTATCCTTGTGTATACTGTAAGTCATGCAGACACACTCTGCATTAATAGTATTAATGTGTGCAAATATAGGGGTCCTTACATTCCATGTTTAAATGCCCATTTTGACTAAAGAGGGGGCATTGCATGGATGCAAACAATTGTTTTCATGCCATATGAGAATGTCTGTTTCAGACCCACCTCCAATTTAAAATGTAGACCCCTTTTAGTTATTTATGCTGTAGAGATACCATATCCATCCCCTTCTGGAAAACAGGGCTTTGTAGCCTTTGTGACTAAAGTTAGCTGACTAGTTAGTCAATTGATTAGTTTGTCAAACTGGGAAGCCTGCTGATAAATTCAGAGGAGCAAGATAGGATGCTTTGGTTTAAAGGTAAAAGTTGAAGGTGCAGTCTGCAGCCAAATCCCAGTTGTTTACTTCTGTCCACAGCAGTTAGTTATCCTGACTCAATTCCTCTTGATATAAACCTCAGGTACTCTTGATATACACCTCAGCTACTAACAGGTTCAGCCACCAAATGTCTGATGTAGAAAGCAATAGAAAACCAGAATTTTAGCCCAGAAGCTCTAGGTATGTTGTGCCATTAAGATATTTTTATTCTCTCTGCTCAGCTCCACTGCATAAAAATTCCTACCAGCCCTTTTAAATTTAAGCAAATTAAGGGCACACACTGAACTACTTGTTATTAATATCTCAGCACTATTTTCTAATTCCCAGTTCATACTTGAAATGGATTAAAACTGCTAATCCTTGACAAGGCAGCAAAATTTGATGCTAATTTATTGATGTGCTCTTTTAAGAAACTTTGGGTTTCCTGTCTATAAATTAAATTTAAACAGAGCCTTCAAGGTCCTCTCCAAGTTAGAGAGCAGAGCTCTGCGTGCTCACACACCACGTGTTCTTGAGCTTGCAGTGCAGTGTGGCTGAGGAGGGCTCGCCTTTGTTCCTAAAGGGATGTTTGTGCCTTGATATCTGTCTCTTAAGGCTGCCTGTGCCAATGGCTTCTCCATCCCACACCATTTGAATTGTTTGATGCAGTGTTTGTCCTGCTGGATCCTCTCTTAGGCATCAAGATTTATCAGCATGCTTCAGGAAAAAGTGCATTCAGGCTTCCATGTCCTTCTGGCTGTCCAAATTTACCCATGGAATACGGAGAATGTACACACGTACCCATGAGCAAACACCAGCTCGTATTTCTGTCTCTTTATCACCCTTTCTGCAACATTGCTGTGAAGAACTTCTATGCCTGGTTGTCCTCAAAGGGTTCTCAATTAGCCCAATAAAGTTCTGGAAATTCAGGGGAGAGTGAAACTTGTAATTCCCAAATGCTGAGGCTGGGTTGGTGGGGTTGGTAACTGGTGAAAGTAATGCTTGCCCAGGGCTCTTTCTGTGGTGGATGGGAGTTCCTGATAGATTTTCCATCCTGAGACCAAACACATTCCCACCTGTATGGAACACAGAGCTCAACTGGGTTTCCTGGAATGCTTTGTCCTCTCCCCAGGCAGCAGCTTCTAAGTGGAAAAAGCAAATGATGTCTCTGAGCCTGGGTATGGCAGGCGTGGGAGGGAGTATCAGGAGCTGATTCCTAGCAGAATCCACGGTCTGGAAAGTTACATGCACACTAAATTGTCTCAATATAGTGTTTGCTTCACTGCTAATAAGGCTGCACGCCAGAAAGAGGGCAAGACTAGATCTGCCTGGCATTTGAGGCTGGTTTTCACAGGAGGCAGGACTGGCTCCCAATTACACCACTGAAAATTCTCTGACAAAAAGCCAGTGGCTAAGACATGTAATGTTAATTACAGATAATGTCGACTGGAATACCTGGAGGAGACAGGCAATAGCTGCAGTCTGTAGAATCCAAAGGGACTTGTCTGAGTGGCATTAATTTTTAATGCTTTAATCAGGATAAAATCCCTCTGCAAAGTCTTAAGGGGAGTAGGAGTAGTCTGTTTAATTTTTTGAATATAACCTGAAGGAGAAAGCAATGATTTAAGCAATCTCTAGTGATGACAAAATCCTTAACTGGACAACAGGAAAAACAAACCCCTCAGTTTCACCCAAGACACTTAAAACTAAGCTGAAGCCAGAGAGAGGACAGCATTTCCATTACCTTTATAAGCCATTCTGTAAGATTTAAATCCCTTGCATGCTCTTTTTTTTTTTTTTTTCTTTCTTTTTTTAGGTGAGATTTCATGCTGCCCTGATACACACTTCCCTGCTAAAGCTGAAAGGCTTTTTTCCAGGAAAAGGCAGGTTTCTCCTCTCTCCTGCTGCTACACTTGGCTGTGGGGTGAGCCATGCAGGGAGCACCTGCACAGTGTGGAAGGGGAGCAGCAACAGGGGACTCTCTGCACCCCCAGCAGCTCTTCATCCTGCTCTGAAAAAACCCTTCCTGGCCAGAACACAATAGTGTGTTAATAACCTTTCACAACCCAGAGCTCCATTCTACAGGTGTGCGAGGCATATGGCTTCTCCCCTATTAGCAATGCAAATTTAATCAACTGGAATAATATTCAAAGGGTTGGCTCAGCGTGAGCCAACAGCCAACAAGCGGTTGTCACTTTTCCCCGCTTTTGACAAACATGAGAAAGATCTTTGATTAAAACTTCAATTCTCCTTAAAACCAATGTCCCTTTGAATGAAAGGAAGCAACGTCCTCCAGAAGTTCTATTGTATTTCCACTTTGTATTGTCACTTCCCAAGAAAACTGCTTTTTATGTCCAGATTCCAGCAACATCAGAGAGAAAAATCTGTTACTTTCCAGTTGAAAAGCAGTCCCTGTCACCAAGCATGCTGTAATTCAGCAAAGTGACAAAGTTCAGATTGATCTGCATATTTTCCCGTGTGGGACTTTTATTGCATTTCAATTTAATTTCGTATCACGATGCTGTTTGTTGTTCCCTGGCTCTTGCTAACAGCTTCAATATGCTGGATGTCTTCTCCTCTGTCTGTCAAAGAGTGTCAGGTCACTGGGTTTATAGACTTCACTGCAGAGCAGAAGTCTGGAGTGTTTCAGTGCCCTGCTGGCTGCAGCATCACAGCCTCGATAACCATGGTGGCACTCCTAGGAGACAGCAGTGTAGTCACCTTTAATTCATGTTGTATCACAGGTGCCACAACTGAGCAGGAGACACCCTTCACTGACCCCTTTCCAGCTGAGCAGAGTCCTGTGCTGCTGGAAGGGGATGTTCTTGTTCCTCTGGGTATTTTGGGGAGCTTTGCAGTGTTTCTGGGCCAGCATGGGCCTGCCTGCCACCCAGAGGACTGGCACTGGCCACAGATTACTGATGGAGCTGATATTTTTGTTCTGGCTGACACACCAGGTTTGACCTGGTGGCGCTTCAGTGGAGCTCACTGATGCTGGTGAAGACAAGATCTGGTCCTTGTCTCCAAAATAGCTGTACCCACATCCTGAGGTAGGTAAAACTGCCTCTCTTTTCTCTTTGCCTTTACAAGGCATGTGGTGCTGCACCCCAGGGTGGCCTCCTCTTGTCGTCTGTGCAGTCAAAGGAAACTAACTATAGCATCAACTAATTGTGGGAGGGCCACAGTTGAAATCTCAGATAATTGTTGTCACTTTATTTTTCATTCACTTAGAAAAGGTAAAATTACCACAGCAGATGATTGTGGTAGTCCTTTTCTTGGGTTCTTGTTCATTAAATGCTGACTGACAAAGGTTTGCTAGTGACTCTCCTATTTTAAATAATGGCATCATTTACAGGACTAGAAACAACATTTTTATTGTAAGTCCCTTTATCTAAAAGGGCCCTGCATGACACATCCATTTGATCATGAAAAATATCAAAGTCCATCTGATTATTGCAGAAACCTGAAATCTGAGTTGCCTGAAGATGTGAAGTAGATTCTGTGGTGAATGATAAAGCAGTGCTTGATTTAAACTGTAGCCTTTGTGTTACAGCTGTGAGAGGATTGTATCCATCTGCTGCTTTCCCAAGACTGTCTGGATGCAGTGGCTTGTAAGTCTGCAGCAGTGGCTTAGGTTTGTCTGAGATACAAACTCAGAAGGGATGTGGAAGCAGTGTGAGGAGAAGGGACAAACCTGGGTGCTGTGTTTCCATGAAGAAAATAAGAATATGGCCAGCCTAAGGAAAATGCAAAGGGTAAAACACAAATTCTGGACTTCAGCAACCAGAGTCCATCTCTGCCAGGAGCAGAGGGATGGCAGGCAGATCTCTGAGATACCACCTCCTCCCAGTGTGCTGCTCCCAGTGCTGTGCTGTCCCTACTGCTGTCTGCATCCCTTCCTTGCTTGGGAAATGGCACCTCACTGCCCTGAACCTCGTGGATGGGGTCCCTCACCCTGCCTGAGCCTCTGTGATTTACGCAGGAGCTTGTCTGCAGGCTCCCTGCAGAACTGTCTGCTGCTGCTAAGTTAGTGTTGTGGCCAGTGCATTTCTGGCCCCCGACCAGGTATGTGCAGTGCTTCCTAAAAGACAGTCTGCTCCTTGCTTGAGTGTTTGAGTGCTGCCCCTGAGCCCTGGAGTGTCATCACCCTGCCTCTTCACCCATGTGTGGCCTCCAACCTGATGCTGGCGGTTTGTGGGAGGGCTACTGAGAATTGTCTGAGCGCTCCACAGGGCCAGAGGCTGGAGACTTCTGTGGGCAGGGTGGCACCTGTGGCCCTGAGGATGTGCTGTCAGCTCTGCCACCTCCCTGGCAGGGCTGTGGTGATGGTCAGGGCATGTGGGAGAAAGTAGTGACACTGGAGGGGCAGGAGCAGAACTCCACCACCGTGAGGAGGGTAGGACAGAAGGGTGAGCCATGGTCAGAGCTCACAAGGGAGATGAAAGATGCATCTGGAGCAGGGGAATGGAGGCAAACATCCACCCTCACAGGAGGAAGCAAAGCCCTGGGGCTCCTGATGTATCAACACCCAGGACTGCGTGGAGCAGAGATGGAGTGGTGAGCACGAGCAGTGTTCTCACTGCGCTCCACAGGGTGCAGGTCTTGCATGTGACTTTCACAGAGCTTTTATTTTTGTTTGCCTGGGGGAAAGTACACTTCAGCATCTCTTCTTTGTTACGTTGTTTCTTTTTCTAATAGCCAGACAGGGCAGCCTGAACGTCTGTTGAGATTCTGGGGTTGAGACTTGGTTTGAATTTCTTGGTTTTAATAGAACTTGTTCAGCACTGACAAGCAGTGAGTGAAGACTCTTTGGGCACTTTGAATCCCTTGATTGCTGATTTTTTGTTTACTTCAACCTCTTGAAAAGCAAAGCACTTCTTATCTCTGCACGGAAGATGAAACCATCTCTTCAGCTGCAGCCTATTTAAAAAGGGTGTTTTTCTGATGCCTGTGTTTCCCCCTGAGAAAACATGAAACACAATGGAAGGAGTTTAAGCAAAGAGACAAAGTCCTTGGACTGCAAAGGCATCAAAGCTGAGCTACTTTCCTTTGAAAATAGTCTTGGGTGGGCTGTGATTATTCCTAGGTATTTATAATGCCACCCATCAGACAGGTTTTATCCTAACTAATTTTGTCTTACATTTCTTGATGTTTTTATCTAGTATTTTTTACTTTTGATGCACTTAGCTAAATAAGCTCAAATATGCTCCCAGGAGAAAATCCATCTCTGGGAGGTGGTGCAGCCAGCCCTCCACAGGAGCCCAGTCTTCCCCAGCCCAGCAGAGTGGCTTCTGCATTGGTTGTGTGTACCCAGACCTGGGTGTCCTCTCAGTGACACCACCCTGTGTGACCCTCTCTGTGCTCTAAATCCACTCCTAAACAGCTCTTGCAATAAACTTTCCTCCTGAGCTTTAATGTCTAGCAACAGCAGTGATTCTGGCTGTTCCCAACATGTTCCCGTTAGCCTCGATCAGACCAGCACAGTAAGGTAGTTCAGTATTTTGCTTATTTGCATATAGTTGCTTCATTAGACTTTTTCTTTTGTTCAGGTTGCTAGTTGTTAGTTTTGAGGTTTTTCATTTACATTCCATTTTTGATCTTGTAAATTGGCTGTTGTCAGGATAGCTGCAAGCCAAGAGAAAATAATGGGCCCCAGAATAGAAGCAACGAGATCAGAAGTGAAAAAGGTCCCAGCAAGACAAAGAGTGGCAAAAAAAAAAAAAAAAAAAAAGAAAAAAAAACCATGAGGGGAAGATTTTGCCTCTCCAGGTCACACAAATCAGGAATTTATCCTGCAGGAAACCTTGCTGGTATCAATATGGTGAGTGTAAGTATAACCTGACCTACAGAAGAACGTGCTTTCAGTTTCCTTGCTTGGAGTTCCTTGACTCCCAGCAGCATTTCTGAATAATGGTGGTTCACTCTGTCCATGTGCTCCAGGGGTTGGAGGTCTCCAGAGCTGCTCTCCTCAACTGCATACTTACACCTGAGTGGGTGAGTGAGTGACATCTCTGCCCATGCATGTTAGCTCTTTCTCATTCCTCTGGAAATGGCAGGGTGCTCTTGTGGGGCTCCACAGCCCTTTGATAGCAATGATATTTGAATTTGTCCCAAATCCCAATCATCACCTGTTTTCAGAGAAAATAAACTGCTGCTGGAGGTTGGGTTGGTTGCTTGTGATAAAACAAAGGAATGCCACACCTTGGATAGCTGACTGTGGAGTTTGATCTGGTGAGGGCATTAGTGAAAATGGGATTGGAAAAGGGAGGTTTTGGGAAAGTTTAGTCTACAGATGGAGATGCAGTGGGTTTTATAGCTTCTGACACAGAGAGCTTCTGACAGCTAAAACAATGAAGGGTGCAAAACCAGTCCTCTAGGAAGTATCCATAACTTCATCAACTAGCCGTCTGTGCCAAAAAGAAGGGGAAACAGGCAAACTGAAAAGAGAAGTGTCACACTGTTACTGCTGGTGAGTGACACAGATGCTAGATTTATTTAGAGCCTGGAACTAATAGCTGCTCTGAATGATATACAGCTGATTTGGGTGATGTCTGAATACAACCCGAGCTCGAGAATTTCACAAGACAGTTTTTCAAGGCAGGAATTGTTAAGAGGTGCCCTTTACACATCACCAGCTAAGTGGTGTGTGCTCGCTGTTCAGAGCTACTGTGCCAGTTGGACCGCTGCCAGGCTTGTAATGCTGCTCTAAAAGGGATCACTTGCCATGTGGAGTTTTTGCATTTTCTGTTATCCAAACAGACTCACTTGAATGTTAATTTGTTCCTGGCTGCCAAGGACCCAACTCTGCAAAAAGCTGAACCCTGTGGCTGCCAGAGGGGTTGTTCCCATCCCTGCTCTGCTGGGCTGGGGCTGGAGGTACGTGCTGGGGGTGCTGGCTTGCTGCAGTCAGGGATCTGCAATCTGTCATTGGGACATAAAACCTCCAGCCATAAAGGCGTTTCCTTCTTTCAAAGTGCAATGCTGTGGCCTTGGCATAACAGCAAAAAAAAAAAAGGACAGCAGCTTTTCTCTCTCATGGGAGGTGGCGACTGGAGAGGGCACAGAGGAATATTGGGATAAGAAAAAACTTCTTGGGTTTTGGAGCTGGGCTGCTGCGATGTACCTGGGTCCTTGGCCAGAGTCTGACAGGGGACAACAGAGGGACATCGTGAGTGTGGACCTGTCAGGGTGGGTGATCAAGCCCTGGTGGGCTTAAAGCTAAAGCAACCAGGAGCCTTTCCTGTGCCATCAGCTCGTTGCTCCCACAGTGTCTGGGCACCTTTGGAGGGGCCCTCAGACCTTCTTGCCATCTTCCTTTTACCTTGTCCTTTTCAAGGTGGCAAATGGCCTTGGCCTGGGTTCCAACAGGAATGTTTGCATCTCCTTTCTGGTTCTTTTAAGCATTTGCAGTATCTTTCGATAGAAATACATAGATTTTTCCATGTTCATGTGGGCAGAAGAGAAGACAACCGGGGGATGTCCTGAACTGCCTGGGGGGCTGCAGATGAGAAGGGAATGAAATATTGATGCAGACACCAGGCTGTGGTAATGGTACCACGCTGATGCTTGGTGTGAGGCACTGGATCCACGGGGATGCAAGGGAAAAGACCCTGACGTGTGTAAGCCATTGGAAAGTCAGAAGGCACAGGCAAATCCCATTATTGGGTGGGGTAGTTTGATAAGGGGCTGGAATCTGCGCTGAAGCTTCACTGCTTTGACTATAAGGCACCCAAATAGGCTTCAATTTTAACTAAATCTTCCTCCTCCTGCTTAATTACTCTATCAACATTTTTGGATGCTTAAAGAAAAATGTAATTTTTTTGTTGTCTGTTTTTAGGCAAGGAAAAAATGGGAGACTGTTCAAAATGTGATTAAATATTTAAAGCACAGTTTCTATTTAGAAACTGGCACTTTGTCAAGTTAAACAACCCATTAAGCTCATAATCATGCTCCATCTTTTGGGGCACAATGCCTTTTGCATCTTTTGAAATGAGTATTTGTGTCATCACTCAGCATGCTCTGAGGGGAAATTAGTCTTCCATTGCATTGTTTCACTTTACTGCTGAGTGAAATAATATTTTGTATATCTTTTTCATTCTTTATTTGCCTTTTTTTTTTTTTTTTTGACACATGACTTAAGGAGGAAATTTGAAAACAAGTCACAAAACTGAGATCCCTGATAAGCTTCTAAAATTCCTTAAATATTCAGCTTGAATATTCTGCCATTAGTGTGGTTTGAGTAATTGCTTTTTCCCCACTAGCAGATGCAGTCATTGCAGCTTCGAGAATTGCTGTGGTCTTGGGGCTTTTCTGGGGTTAGGTGATCAAACACTTAGAGGTGTGGCTTTTGCAAAACAGCAGTGGTCAGTTCTGGGGGATGGAGCCCGCAGAAAGCCCTGTGAAGGCCAGAAGGAAGAACTGAATCCTAGACTTCTGTAAGGACCAGGGATGTCAGAGCACATCCCAAACACCAGTGGACAGGGAGGATCACTGCCAACCACGGCGCCTTTTGCTGTGGTGGCATCCCAGGTGTGAGAAGTCAGGCTGTGTCTTCCCAATCCCAGAGTGGGAAGTGGGCCCTCTCCCACATTCCATGTGCCACACAAAAATCCTCTCTGTGCCAGCTGGGTGATCTCTGCAGCACTCTGTTTAGTAAGTCAGGGTATGCTTTGGTTACAAGTGCAGTTGCCATTCATCACCTTTACTGCATGCACAGTGATGGTGATTTCAGCAGAATTCTCCTCCTCTCTAGTCTTGCATCAAGGAAAATTTTCCTATTTTTGTTACTTCTAAAACTGCCAGTGGCAGCCTGCTGTTTCCTTGAATGTTGTGTCTGCTTTATATGACAAGGCTGACTTAGAAAAATGTTTCATTCATAGACTGCAAGCTGTGACAACGTTTTAAAGCCCTGTATCTTTTTGCAAATGTAATATTTTCCATGGAATGACTGCAAGATGTGGGTTATTTGCATTAAGAGACTCTCAATGAATGCTTGCAGGTTAATCTTATAGCATATAACATAGAACTACTGCTGTAAAGGATAGCGACTGCAGCAGCAAAGCCATCACTTGCGCTTTATGTGTTGCAAGTGATGAGGTGGTATCAGCAGAGCAAGCAACTGAGCAAAATCTATTATTGTTTCTGGACTGGAAGGCAGTTTGATATCGAGATTTAAAAGAATTGTGACCAGATCACATTCTTAGCTCTGTGCCTCATACTTGGAACGAGCGCCTGGCTTTTTCAAAGCTGTTTCCTGCCACTGTTGATGGTTCATTTACCACAACGAGCATCCCCTGACATTGTAAGTTAGTTCCCACCTATGTCCCAAGAGCCTGAGTGCAGTGTTTTCTCAAGATGAACTTGTCAGAACACACATTTTCTCTGTCAAGCATTTCCCAAGCCAGTTCTTTCCCAGGGGTTACAGAAACACGGAGTTGCATCAACTGAGACTGACGTACCTGGTCTTCTGCAGCTCTGCCCCTATCTGAAGTTCTACACTTCAGCAGTGGCTTTACATGTGTCACACATTTTTGTTTTCCTCTTGGGTTTCTTGTTCTTCTGCGGTAGTTTTTGTGAGAAGTCTGATCAGCTTGTTGGTGTATGATAAGCAGTTACATCAACTCCAGGGTCAAAGTCTCTGAGGATTACTGCAGCTGCTGGTGTTAATTAAGTTTCTTGCTATCTACTAGTGCCAAGCAAGGGAGCTTCAAAAAATACTCAGAGTACAGACAAAGTCTCTTATATACCGAGTTGTGTTTTTTTCAGAGCTCCCAGTTCACTGAGTAGGAGGACTATTTGCAGGCATTGCTGCAACATCCTGGCTCTTGGAGACCTGAAATGATGTTTCTTTCCCATAATGTGGGGACAGCATTTATAATCTTACATTGAAATAATGCAATGCATCAGTGGGCTATTTTTTTTTTTTTTTTTGCAGAGATGAGTGTTGTTTATTAGATGAGATATTTCTTCATCCCAAATTTTCAGGACACAGTTATTTCCTTGGTGAATATGGGTAATTTGCATACATTCTGCTACATTTCCTGTTTGATTCTGAGGGAAATACTTGCAGCATCCAGCCTAGAGGGTTTGGTCCCCAATGGGAGGTTGACATGACTTAAAATACCAAAGTACTGAGGAAAATATAAGGAAGAGGTAAGTGTAGCTGTTGTTATTGTCAAAATTCATAGACTCAGGCTGGAAAAGATCATTGAGTTCAACCATTAACCCAGCACTGCCTAGTCCACCACTGAGCCCTGTCTCTAAGTGCCACATCTACATGTGTTTTAAACCCCTACAGGGGATGGTGATTATACCACTTCCCTAAGCAGCCAGTTCCACAACCCTTTCTGTGAAGAATTTCTTCCTAATATTCAATCCAAACCTCCCATGACACAACTTGAGGCTATTTTCTCTTTTCTTTTGCTTGAGAGAAGAGACCAACCCATATCAGTACAACCTCCTTTTGGGCAGCTGTAAAGACTGATAAGGTCCCCCCGAGCCTCCTTTTCTCCAGGATAAACACCCCCAGCTCCCTCACCACAGCAAATCTTACACTGCTATGGAATGCTACTAAAACATTGAAATGACAGAGGTGATGTGAACTGCTAGCAGCACATTTGCATAGGTGGGGAAACCACTGTTAAAGCTGAAGTAAAAGCCCCAGTGATGCAGCAGGTTGTAGTAGGTTACAAATTAGGAGAAGCTTAAATATGTATGGATATTTTATAACTCCATCATAGGATAATTTAAAGCACAGGCCAAGCAGCGGTGAGAAAAGACTTAGGGATATAATTTTTACACAGTGTTTAGTCATATATTAAATGTTTACAATATACTCCTCTCCCAGAACCCAGCCTACAGGGAAGAATATTCTGCTTCTGCGGAAAAGTGCTTGTCTAAGTGAGAAAAGAGGTCAGGAGATGCTTATTTACCCTCTATGAGAAGACTGTGATGCTTGCTAGGAGGGGCAGGTTGCAGGGACTGTCTAGAACAGTTGGATACGACCCCAGGTAGTGACTGGAGGCTATAAAATGAATAAAATCAATAAATAAGGAGTGTCCTGGAATTTTTTTCCCAGCACTGAATATGCTTTGAATTGGGTGCTAAAGCAGGAGATGTGTGTGCCCATAGAACAAGTCCAGCTATGAAGAGAACTGTGTGCAGAGATGTGCTCGGAGCTGTGATTCAGCTGTACATGGGAGGTGGGGTGGGGTTGTGATGCCTTTCACATGCTCTTACCTCCTGTTCTCCTGCTACCTGTGGTGGTCTTCCAAGTAGATTTACTTCCTAAATAAAAAATATTGGATAGTAAATGTAAATTGCTGTAATAATTTACTCACTCCTGCTGTGTTTACTATAAACCTTGGATAAGAATAGCTGTACGCTTAGAAAGCCTGACTGCCTCCTAAACCACGAGAATGAGGGATTCTGTTGGGTGATAAATACTGCAAATTAAAGCATTCATTTCTTGTAAATGTTCAACAATTTTAGACTGGCCATGATTTTCCTTTGTTTTCACAGGTACCAAAGAGGGGCACTTAATAGAACGATAACCTCAGTGCTTGCCCAGCCAGCGTTGGAAAGCACATAGAGACTTGTCTTTCTGTTGGACTCTGTAAACCCAGGTCTAGCCTGTTGTACCACAGCAGATGCAACTTGCTTTTTCTTTGTTGGAGGGAAAACACAACCAAGTCTTTCTTACCCTGCAGTGCAACTGAAGGACCCACCATGGTACACCTGGGTGTGGTGGAAGGTTTGATGGCTTCAGCAGCTCTGAACTGCACCCCAGCTGGCCCAGCATGATGTCTGCTTGAAAGGGAAGCTGTGCAACCAGGGAACACACCTGATCACTTCCTAATCAGTGCTGTCCTGCATAAAGGTACACTGCTATTTTAACCCCCTGTCACTGCAGTGGTGTGGATGTGTTGTAACCGTCTGCTCTTCTTTTCATCT